CTAATAGCAACGTCTCTTTCTTAAGAGAGAGAAAGGTTGAGTCTTTTTCATTTTTGCAGAGTGTAGAAGCGAGTTCCGAGACGAGTGATGGGAAAATTATTTTGCGACGGTCCGGCGTAATTTCAGACAGTGGGCAGAGTGAGAAGCAGTTGAATTGATTTATAAATGGTAAGTAGGATCAATCAGATTTCTGCAGAGATTTTTCTCTAAATTTATTTCTAGTTAAATGCATGTTATAGATGTAACATATTTGTCATAGCAGAGGTTGAGGATATGGAAGACATGTTAGATTTACCAGTGTGGATGTTTGCCACCGACGAAAAACTAGTTGGGATTAGAGCTACTTCATATGGACTTCATCGTCTGAGTCATATGGAGAAGGGAAAACAACGAGGCTCAAGAAAAAAGAATATAAGCATGGGCCCTTGCCATGGTAGAGACTTGCACGAAGCTAGGGAGGTAACTAATGTTATTAAGATAATAATTAAGTTAGTCAGTTATTATTTGATTAACAGATACTAGAAATTGAGCAGATATTTTTTTTGAATAATGGATACTATATATCCATGTCGTTAAATTAGTTACTAAATACTATTTTTTGGGAAGATGCTGGTGGAGGCAATTTTTGCCGTAGAGAACCATCCCAGCTAGTCTTGTTGACTGCCAATGGGACAAGCGAATACTACAACGGGCAAGAGAAGCTCATCTCATCGTAGTTGGGGACGGACAACGAGAGGATTACTCAGCCAATTCTATTTTCGATATGCATGTGATAGATCTTCATCTTTCGCATAATGAAATAGGTGAGAAACCGGAGTTACTAGATAGGATGTTCGCCGCCGACGAAGAACCCGTGGTGATTAGGGTCACATTTTATGGGTCTTTAAATTGGATGTATGTCGATCATGTTTACAGTCTTCGAGTATGTCAGTTCGGTTTTCGATTCATACCTTCGTGATAATGTTATGAGGCGATGGTCTATGTTCGTTTCACTCAAACATGGTCGATTCCAATAGTTAATCTGGGTGTTAGTTCTAATAAGTATCTGCTTTGTGTTTCAATGGTAAAGTTCTTTCCGGCAACGTCACTATAAAAAGGCATCTGCCGATTTTCGCATTTGTATATGATCGAAGAGTGAGCATAGCAATGAATAATTTGGTATATGATGTAAATCATTATCAGTTACTTGCATGTGTTCGGGTGATACAAAAATATGTATTCATTAGTTTTTTCCAGAAATTATGTACAAATTTTTAAAGATTAATGGAATGTGAAATGTTTAAAAACAAAAAAAAAACTATAATTTATCTACCAATTAATTCACCACGTCATCAATAAAAACGAACAAAAAAAAAGACCGCAATGAAAGCGGTAAAGTTTCAAAATGCAGACTAAAAAATGGCGCCTTTTCGAAAAACAAAAACCGTTTCTCATTGGCTAATCCGTAGTCACGAGGATCGATCCCTACCTATTTTCAACCGTCGATAAGATTTAATCCAACGGATACAAATCTTCTCCCATCTTTCGTCCTTCTCACCTATAAAACACGAAGAGAACCGTGCAACTGTAAAATCAATCAAAATCTGTAACCTTTTTATATTTTTAAAATTAGAAATCAGTAATCGATAATCGTAGCGATGGAAACTACCGGAAAAGTGAAGAAGGGTTTCGGAGGTAGAAAAGCCGGTGGTCCAAAAACCAAATCGGTTTCGAAATCGATCAAAGCCGGTCTCCAATTTCCGGTCGGAAGAATCACTCGGTTCCTCAAGAAAGGACGTTACGCACAGAGACTCGGTGGTGGAGCTCCGGTTTACATGGCCGCCGTTCTTGAGTACCTCGCCGCCGAAGTAAGTTTTTTCTCCGTTTCTCTTCAGATCTGTTTATTCGGAATTGATTTCTGATTCGAAATGTTATTGATTTCAGGTTTTGGAGCTTGCTGGTAATGCTGCGAGAGACAACAAGAAATCTAGGATAATTCCGAGGCATCTTCTTCTTGCGATTAGGAATGATGAAGAATTGGGAAAACTTCTGAGTGGTGTTACAATCGCTCACGGTGGTGTTTTACCAAACATTAACTCTGTTCTTCTACCTAAGAAGACTGCTAAATCAACTGAAGAAAATGCAACCAAATCGCCAGGCAAATCTCCCAAGAAAGCTTGATCCGTGACGTGTTACTCTCATTCACCATATTAGTTTTACGTGTTGGGTATTTTGTGGTCAAGTCTTGGTGAATGTATGTGTAGAAAAAACTCGAGCTTTTGTGTAATTTGGATTTGAATTCTCTTCAGATCCAACTTTTGTTTCGTTTTAATGCAATTGGTTCAGCAAAGTAGTCTTATTTAATTTTCTTTCGTTGAATCACTTTTAAATTATGTTCTGATCACTCTTTGTTCATCGATATCTAGCAACTCGAGGTTCTTGTTCGAAATTATTCGTCGGAGGTATATGTTGTTGATTAGCTTACAGATTCGCCTTTTGTGTATGTGGGTATTGTTTCGTTACCTTAGAACTTCAAAGATAAGAGACCATGACGAGAATCGCAAGTTGCACACCAAGTGTTTGATTAAATGCTTGAGAGAAAGAATGAATTTGTAAAGAAACATTGCAGGGCTTTGTTACGACACTAATGAACCTGTTTTGAAGAAAGAGTTTGAAAATTACGGTGAAGTTGTACAAGGTAAGGTCATTGCCATGTAATCTACTATTAGTTTACTTTATGGATAGTAGATTAGTGCAATGAATGGGAGTTTTTTTTTTTTGTGGGATGTGAAAATGCAGTGGGAGTAATATGCGATCATATGAGTGGGAAATCGAAAGGTTATGGTTTTGTTGAATTTGATTCAGAAGAAGCAACTTCAAGTGCCTTAGCTTCCATGAATAATCAGGTTTGTTTACAAAACCAATTCAGAGAAAGATGTTGGAACGAAATATATATATTCTTGGTGATTCATTTGTTGCTGCTTGTCTTTTGTTCAGTTACTCGAAGGAAGAAACATCAGAGTCGAATACGCTAAAGCTAAAGGTGGTTTACATGAGAATCACAAGTGATTATGGATTTCTTGACTCAGCTGAAACTTGAGTGAAGCAACGTTAAGAAATTGTAACATGGTAAAGCAAACTCAATAATGGTTTTTGGTGAAGAGTCTTTTTGTAATTACTGTGTTTGTTCTTCTCTTCAAGCTTTGTTGGTGCTTGTGTCTTCTTTGCAGATTCTACAAATATTAATCGGCCATTTAACAATCTGAAAAACAAATAACCAAATGCAAATCTCAGTCCAATTTTTGAACATATAATGTATTTTAATCTTCCTGAATTGATTTGGAGTCGATTTTTCAGATTCAATTTCATATCAAA